CTCTCTCTCTCTCTCTCTCTCTCTCTCTCTCTCTCAATGCAACTGTTTGTGTAAAAATACTCAGCTCCTGATAATTCCATTTAGGTGCTAGCATGAGCTAAAAGTATTACTCTTCATTAGCAGTCTTAGGACCAAGATACTGGTTAACTACTAGATGTGCCAACAGGGCCACAAAGCTCCACTATATACATATATGTAGCCACCTTAGAATACACAACTGTTCAAATGTATGTTATAATTTGCACAAAGAAGTGACACTATCTTTTTTTTCCCTCCCACAAGAAGCAAAATTTATGTGAGGTCGACTTACTGTACAGGAGGTAACCAGGTTATTTTTATCATATTACAGTACCAAGGCCTAGTTCATCCTCAATCTCATCCCCTTCTTCAAACAGCTTTAAGAACCGAGCCTGATCTTGTTGCCTCTTCTTCTTTTGCCAGTATTTATATGCCATCACCAGTGCAATTATTGTTACTGTTGAAATCAGCACACTGATCAGTATCACTACAGCAACATGCATTCCATTCCCGTCGTCATGCTTTTCAGGAGCTGCATTAGAAGCTGCAAGCACACAGCAAATATAAATTTGTCATCATATATTGAAAAAGAACTTGTGCATTTGGGTTTAAACAGGGACTTTATGAATGCAAGTGTGCACTGAAGTACATATAGGTGAGCTCAATCACACAATTTCAGAACAATTGTATGAAACAAGAAAAGAATCCACATCAGGAATCCATTGTCTATGTTAAACTTTCATGGGCAATTCCAAGGTCCTGCCATTGTGGTCAACTTTAGCCCTTCAAGGATTACCAGTGTTTGTTTTACTAGTATTTAGTATTAAAATTAACTAGCCACATGATACCTTGCTCATTTGGCTCCTTCATGAATTATGATAGCAAATGAACTTTGGATGTTCCACTGAAATGGGGCCAAAGAAGCCTATTAATTTCTATAATATCTTAGCTTTTCTTCTAGCATAACTACCCAGAAATCTACCGTTAGAACAATGTCACAATACGGAGTGAATAATATCCAAAAAATGTGTTGAGATACCAAGCAAGCCATGAACTAGCCCATTAATATAGTATAACAGCTCCTAGATCACTAGAAAGAATAGAGTCAGAAAGATTCCATGACCAAGAAACCTCACCAGCTGGAAGAGATGTGCAATCCGGACAATGGAAAGTAGCATTAAATTCCTTCTCTTTAAACAATGTATATTTTGGAGCTTTAAAGTCAGAAGAACAGAACTCCCACTCAGCAAATATATCATCCGCTTTAATGGTGTCCTTCTCATAGAATCCACATCGCTTGCATTTCTTGCTTACAAGTTCTGTCAGAGGCTGAAATCACAAAGATTACAATTTCATTGCATACTTTTTGCAAAAATTGTCATACATGAAAAATCTGATATAGTAGCGACAACCATGAAGGGTTTACTTAAAAGTAAAATGTATAAGCACAGTTACCCAGAACATCAATTTATACAAGAGCAAACTTGAATAGGCTCACATGGCCAGCCTAGCCAGACATTTAACTATCCCCCAAAAAAGCCATTGATCCAGTACACATAATGTGACCATCTAACAATTGTAAATATTAGGTCAAAGGAGAACGGCAACTTCAAAGATTATAACTTTTGCCAAGTCTCCATTAGCAAAAGGCCAAAAAGGAAGGTATTATGTCACTATATGATAAGCAACAAAATCAACTAATAAAACATGACATAGAACCATAAAATTGCCTAAAAAGCCACAAAAGAACCCTAAACCGAACACCAAGAAGACACCTTTTTTCAGCTATTGAGATTGCACAATTCATAAAACTAGGCAAAGTTGAAGTTTTAATATGGATTCTCTACTAATTCCATGATCAATAAAAAGTTCTGAAACGAAAAAGTATTAATTTAAACCAGCTGACAGTATTGAAAACATAAAGAGAACGTAAATCAGTGACTTAGTATTTAAAAACCTGCCAAGATTCTTCACCCTTGAAGGAATAGACGACGCCTGTTTTGGTGACATCTGGCAACACCGTGCTGTTCTCTCCTTTGCATAAGAAATAAACCGTCGGTTTTCCTATCAACTCGTGCGTTTGAAATATTTCAATTGAATCCAACGTAACTACTGCCGATGAAATTAATCCTAAAAAAACAAATTAAAGAGAAGATTGCTGCTTAATTTCAAATTTTCAGCGCAAAAAAAAAAGTGAATTTGATCTAAAAAGGAAAGAAAAAAAAGAGAATTAAGAAAGTCAAAGTATTAAAAACATGTCAACATCGATCGCCTGGCGGAAAACTACATGACATCTGTTTGTTTGTTTCTCGGGAAAGTTAATTTACCTGGAAAACAGCTGAATAAGATCCACCAGGTGAGAAAACGGAAGAAAATTCTCGAATTTAGCCGATGGCGAATCGACATAGCGAGCTACAACAATATCAGTTTCTCTATAAGGAAAAAAAGGGGGAATATAATCGTAAATCAGAGAAATGAGAAAGAGTGCGCACTACGCACCTGTCCTTCCTCTGGTATTGTATTTTAATCTCAGTAAAACGAAAGAACAAAGAAAATTAAGACAAATGGCGGTTTCGAAAGTTATCTTTTGCGTGGGAGAAACGGCAAACCAAAGGAAAACGAAGAAGGGGTAGGAAAGACCGGTTCCCGCTGCGGGTAATTGGACGGGGGTTGCGTCTTCAGTATGCGGGGTGCGCAATGGGCACCTTGCTTTTAAGATTTCGCCACGTCGTGGAGGAAAAGGATACTGTTTACGTGGCGAGATCGGAAGTGGTTTTGGGTTTGGGCTTCAGGCTGGGGTGCGATTAGACATTTCAACTGATACGACGGGCAGTTATAGTCAGTTGGTCAATACTTTCTCATTTACAAATTAAAAGGAATATTCAGTTATGTTTCATTCTTTACATAGTATAAAATATATAAATACTACATTTTGGAGACATTCAAAGAAAATAAAGGATGTTGGACCAAAAAATATATTTTTTATTCTAAATTAAATATTCAACTTTTTTTAAATATCATAATATTTAAAAAAACTTTAAATTATTCTTAAAAAATTAAATAAATATTTATTTTTATTATATTCAATAAATTCTTATAATTTTATTTTCGATCAAATAAATTTTTATAATTAACAGTCGATTAATTATTATTATTTAAATATTATTTATTATTTTATATTATATGGTGTTAAGGTAATATTTTAATATATTTTAGTAAAAAATGACAGAACATATTAATGTGATATAATATTATGAATTATATGATATTTTTTATTTTCTATGTCAATGCCATGAGATGAAAAAAAATGATAAATAGTATGTTGGTTAGTGACAATTAGATAAACATTAATTGTAAAAATTTATTTACTCCCAAATAAAAATACATGAATTTATTTAAATTTTTTAAAATAATTTTGAGACTTTTTAAAATTTTGTTAAATTTTTTTAACATCTATAATAAATATTTATATCTTTCATATTAATTTTTACACAGAGAGTAAAATAAAAGAGGCAATCTCAATATTTGGGTTTCATTTGTTTTTTCTGGTGGATTTTATTTGTAGAATTGGCCAAAAGGTTTTCAAAGAAACAAAGTCAACAGGCAAGCTTGACAATTTTACGGATGGCTGTACGGACACATCTCCCCGGACGGTTTTAGTCTTTATTTAAGACAAAAGTGGTTTCAACTTTGGAATCTTCTTGCATTCTGGAAATGACAACCCATAGAAACTTCTCACGTGAAGGGAAAACGTTGTTAGTTACCTTGGCTCCCAAGATTTTTGTGACAAAGAAAACGTTGGATTTTAACGAACGAGCCATTTTTAGAACCTGCTTTGAAATAAAAAATTCATGCCATCTTCTTTCTGCTTGGCCTCTGCCGCTGCTCTCGCCTCAAGGGAGGGCCGTGCACCACCCAAAAGATGGCAACAACAAGGATTTTGTTTCCACAATCCCTTGCTGCTGCCTTGATCATCTTCTCCCTTCTTTTCATGGCCGCCTCGGCTCAAGCGATATCCCAACAAAACCACAAGCCAAGAAACAACATTCAGAAGAATGGTAATGCAACTGGCAAACCAAGAAGACCACCGACGACGGCGGAGCTTGCGAAGAAGATAAAGTCGGCTTCCTTCGTGAAAGAGTTTGTTTCCGCCCACAACGAGGCAAGAGTCAACATCGGACACACACCCATGGCGTGGAACTATACCCTTGCCTACTTCGCCAAACAGTGGGCTAAAAAGCGTGTAAACGATTGCAAGTTGATCCATTCTTATGGCCCTTACGGGGAGAACCTGTTTTGGGGTGGCAAAACCCATTGGAACCCGAGCGAGGTGGTGAAATTTTGGCTTGATGAGAAGACTTATTATGATCCGAAGTCAAACACGTGTGTCACGGGCCAAATGTGCGGGCATTACACCCAGGTTGTCTGGAAAGATTCGGTCAGGGTTGGTTGTGCTCGTCTCAACTGTTACAATGGTAAAGGCATGTACGTGATTTGCAGCTATGATCCTCCGGGTAATTATATCAATGAACACCCATTTGGTGACTTGGCTAATATTGACAATGTGAGTAAGATTGCACTGCCACCGCTGTGAAAACCACCCGTTGTTGCCCCAACTTCGCCAGTACCCTAAAAGCCTACGTAAATTAATGGATGATATGGGAGGGAGTTCAACGAGAATTGATCATGGCTTTGGCTAAAGCAGGGGAATTTATCTCTTTTTTGCCTTTCTTTTTTCTCTTTTTATATCTGAAAGAACATGGTAAGACATGTGGTCTGTACTTGTCTGTTATATTTAAATGAAAATTCCAAAAGTTTAAACTCTTGGGGGTGGGTAAAGTGTTCTTCTCCAGGGAAATCTGAAAGCCAAATGCAAATTACTGTACTAGTAGTATTGTGATTTAATGTTATATATATGTCTGGAATGACAAATGCGCCTCTGTTTTATGATCGTCTGCGGTGTCACTTTCCATGCATGGATTTGGTTCTTGTAGTTTAGTTTTAATCCTCATTGGAATTTCTCTAAGATGTCAAAGAAGAAGAGAATGTGATGACATTATTCCACAGATCTGGGTGTGAAGGTAGCTAGATTTTTCTATATTCAAAACTTCATGCATCTGAGATTAATCATTTGCAAAAAAAAGAAGGATCCTCGCATATATTTTACAAGTTTCTGCACAGCAAAATGCGAAACTATGGAAACCTTCAATCTGAAGAGAACACCTTTGTTTCCAGCTGGTATGCTTTAGTGAAGAAGGCAGGCCAACAGAGGTATGTTGACATGATGCTGCTCACGGTAGAGGCACCAATTAGCATGTTCATCACAACAATCTGTAAATGAATAGCTTCTACGGGAGAAGCGCCTCCCATTATGAGGCCAGTCATCGCCCCTGGAAGTGAGATAAGACCCACTGTTTTGGCATTGTCCAAGACTGGTGAGAGTGCAATAACTAGAGCTCTTTTCACTTGTTCTAGAGTTGCTTGACGAGGAGTTGCCCCAAGAGCCAAAGCTGTCTCCACCTGCAAAGTAATAGCAAAGCCATACGGAGTCAATAACAGAGTTGCAACATTTCAGAATGAGGGCTTGTTGACAATGAAAATGTCTTCTAAACGAGGTGTTTAGAAGGACTTATCCATCAGATCAACGAAAATTACAAAAAACCGGAGGACCAAGGGAAATTGGTGGCCATGGTTTTAAGACCAAAGTGCATTGCTTTAGTTTGAATTCAGGATTCAAATCTTTGAGCATCCACAAGAGAGAAACAACATTGCATAAATTTATCAATCCTTCCCAACTTCATAAAACCATTGACAGGTGTTTGCTAAAGTTTGAACATACCAGGTTCGTTTGTATCTTGATGTCATCTCGAAGTCTTTTCATTGTGACTCCAGTCACTGTCATTGCATTCCCAACCATCATTCCTGCAACAGGGATAATATATCGCGGGGTGAAAGGGAAAACGTTTAATACAACAAGGAGGAACATGGTCACTGCTGTTCCAGCCAGGATAGATATTCCAGCAACATACTTCCCGCGGGGCACATGTTTAGCACGTTGGCCAGCTGTATATCCAGCAACAGAAACCTGCAATCCATGTTTTCAAGCACCCATTAGTAGTAGAACTATCAAGAATGAATGTCCAATGGCGAAGAGATAGTCTAAACATTCTTGTGAAACTTAAAAGGACAATCAAGAGCATTGACAAACAAGATCCATTCAAATTCTTAAGAGAGTCCCAAAGTTGAATTGAAGGTAACTTAGATAAGGTATTTCTCTACTCTGTTTTTATTGAATAGGCCACATATATATAATTCGGTGAAATTGCAGGAGATCAGAACTGCAGTTAAATATATTTGCTCTGTTCTTGTTTGACCAAACTTCAGCATAGTTTGGGCAGCATATGCAAAATTCTACATCAATCATGAGTATCAATTCCTGGGTAGGATCAAATGGATTAACCCATAGTACGAAACAGTCAGTATCTGGGGTTTCATTTGTTTTTTTTTTCATATCAGTTAAGCTAAACTATATGCATAAAATCTCTGAACCGAATTGGAAATAGCCAATAAACATCTCTAATACGATTATAAAACTCCATAAGCATACTATTTTTACTAACTTTTATTTTCATTACAAGTCCGATTACTTGGGAAGAATCCAAAAATGGTAGCCAAAGAAGCAAGAATTCAACAGAACGAGAATTCTGCTTCACGTGGTCAATGAAGTAAGGAAAAGGCAGTCAATTTAATATTCAAAATCCCAAACTGTTCAGGTATTTCAAACTGACTAACACAGAAATTCCACTCAACACTGAATTACTTATTAATGTCAGAAAAGAGAAACGTAACCAAAGCAAAAGAAACGTTAATCTAAAGGTGAAAACTCTACCCAAATTGTAAACTTAGTTTCAACAAAAGGAAAAGAGCAAAAAGTTTAAAGGCAAACCATAAAAAGATAAGCAAGGACGATCCACCCACTGTTCTCCTGGTTAAAAATGAACTGAAGAACAAACCCAATAATGGAAAGCTGAAGAAAAGCTCTGAGGATAGAATAAATCATCTCTTTTTCCAAACCCAGCTTTTGCATGAAAGACAAGAGAACCGCCATGAGAACCACCGAAAGGGCAGCCACTGGCTTGGCCATGCCCTTTACAAACTCAATCAACCAATCCCAATCCATTGCAAGTAGAAACTGAGCTGAAAATCCACCGAGTTGATGTTCGTAATGATAGAGCCAGCTTTTCGGGGTGGGTGTTTATGTGGTTGAAGAAGAAGGAAGAAGCTACCTTCCTCTGTTGACAAAGCTGCTCTCTTGAGACAACTCGTGGAGTTAATATTCGAGGTTTTCTATTTTTATTTTCTTTTTCTTTTTCTTTTTAATGCTTTGGAATTGGCGCAAGTGGTGAGGAAGGACGTACAGATTGATACGAAACGGGGAAGGTTTGTCCCTACGTACCTTATCAGTGGATGAGAGTTGACAAGTTAGTGGGGACGAAGAATTCCGTAACATTGACGTGGCGGTGCCATGGTGCGCCAGAGAATCCACTCATTCCGTTTTAACGCTGCTAGTGGAGACTGAGAGACAATCAGAGAAGTCATTTAGGTAATCATTATTCAAATATAAAAATATAAAATTATTAAAACTATTTTAACAAAATAAGAAAAGTTCAAATGAATATGAAAAATTTATAAAATGGAATATGAAAATTTAGTTTACATAAGTCAATTTTAATACTAATTTTTTAAAAATAAAATATTTAATACTTGTATTTATTATAAAAAATTTTAATTTTATATATTATATAAATATTAACACTTTTTAATTTATTAGAATGATAACAATAAAACTTTGACTCAAAATTTAAATCACATCAAAATGTCAAATCTGGGGGCATATCTATCCTCTACTATTCACTTGATAGCAACATATTTCCGCCAATCTCGTTCATTTGCCTTCCATATTCTACTTTCTTTTTAATCTAAAATTCATTATAATATGAGTATTTTGTTTAAGACATAATATCTAAAACAAAATTTAAATTATTAAATAAAATTTTATACTTTTATTATGTTGAATTAAACTTTTATATTTTATTTCGAACCAAATCAACTATTATAATTTTATTTTAAATCAAATTTATCTTTATAATTAATGATTAATTTAGTCAAAATGTTATTTATTAGTCTATATCATGTGACACTAACGTGATATACTAACATATTATAATTGATGATGATATTGCATACTTATATATCATAATTGATGATGACGTGACATACTAATTTGATATTATAACATAACTATATGGTATTTTTTTATCATCTACATCAATATCATGTCAATATTATGTGGACATAAAATGATAAGTGATATTTTGATTAATTGTAATTAGTTAATAATTAGTTATAAGGACTTATTTGATTCAAAATAAAATTATAAATATTTGATTAAACATAATAAAAGAATAAGGACTTATTTAAATTTTTTAAAATAATTTAAGTGCTTATTTGAGTATTATGTCTTTGTTTAATAATTGATATTATCCTTGCTTATAAATTAATGTTTAAATATATATATTCAAGACTAAGAAAAAAAAACAAAGTAAAAAAAACACTTAAAAACCATGTTACTATTTGTTAAGTTTCAATACTGATGGAAAATTTGCGATGTAACTTTTGGCCTAGGTTTATCTGAGACCAAGTGTTTCTCGTATATCACCTGACAACATGTTACTAGTTATTTAAAAAAAAACTATTTTTTAAGAATTTTTTAAAAACTTTATTTAATGTAGTTTTTATTTTGAAAAGATAAATAAGTTAAAAAAAATTAAATCAAACAGACACAAAACCAAATTTGTTCTATGAAATTGATATCCCAACGTAAAATATTAAGCAAAAAGGCTTTTGGGTCACATGCAGCCTGAGCATAACGGTTGGGAAGCACAATGAGCTTATTGCCATGTGCTGACAAATCTGATTTAGAAGTAATTGTTTGCTAAGAATGATTAAAGAATGAAAATGGTGAGGGTGGATAAGAGATGCCATCTTTCTCATAGACATATAAGCAATGTTAATTATCATTAAACAGAATATGGTGAATATTCGGTATTTGTAAAATTTGTTTAATCTAAATTTAAATTCGTACAAATCATCTAAATTCAAAATAATATTGAATTATTAACTTATTTTGCCGTAATTATAAATAATTTATATTTAATATATTGTTAGTATATATACACTATCATTTAATCACAAAATGACATCTTATAAATATACGAAGATACAAGTTTATAAATCTTTAATTATAAAATTTATAAATTGATACAATGTCAAATATAAATTTTAATTTTAAAATCAATATCGATTAATCATTGCTTTGAATAGTTGCATCTCAACTTGTTTTTTATTTTTATATATATTTTTGGGATGTTGCTTGCGAAAGTATTGGTGACTTTCAAATGTATTTTGACTAAAATAATAAACAGAAGCTTGGATTCTCATACAATTAAACCAAAAAAAAAAATACCAGTCGACATTCATTTGTACTTTAATGTACTAACTAAACAATCTGAGGCTGAAAATCCACCGCGTACTGATAGAGCCAGCTTTTCGGGGCGGTTGTTTATGTGGTTGAAGAAGAAGGAAGAAGCAACCTTCCCCTGATGACAAAGCTGCTCTCTTGAGACATCTGGTGGAGTTAATATTCGAGGTTTCAGATTATGATGTTAATCATGTTGGGTTTTGTATTTTTCTTTGTGTCCTTTTCCTTTGACTGATTTGGAATCTGCGCAAGTAACGGGGAAGGACGTACAGATTGATACGAAACGGGGAGGGGTTGTCTCTGTGTAACAGTGACGTGGCGCTGGCATTGGTTCTGCAGAGATAATTCACAGAAGTCATTTAGCTAATCATTATTGAAATAGAAAAATATTAAAATATTAAAATTACTTTAATAAAATATGAAAAATTTATAAAATGGAATATGAAAATTTAGTTCACAGAAGTCAATTTTAATACTAATTTTTTAAAAATAAAATATTTAATATTTGTATTTATTATACTAAAATTTAATGTTATATATTATATAAATATTAACACTTTTTAAATTATTAGAATAATAATAATAATAATAATAAAATTCTGAGTCATAATATAAATCACATCAAAATGTCAAATTGGGGCATATCTATCTTTATTCTAGTTGATAGCAACATTTTTCTACTATTCTTGTTCATTTGAGTTTCATGTACTTTCTCTTTAGTTTAAAATTCATTATAATCGAAGTATTTTATTTAAGATGTAATATTTTTAAAAAAGTTTAAATAAGTTCTTATAATTTTATTATGTTCAATCAAATTTTTATATTTTTATTTCAGACCAAATCAGTTATTATATTTTTATTTTGAATCAAATATATCTTTATAATTAATGGTTAATTTAGTCAAAATGTTATTTAACATTCTATACCATATGATATTAACATAGTTTGCTAACATATTATAATTGATAATGACATGACATACTAATATAACATTATTTATATGGTATTTTTTATCTTTCACATTAATACCATATCAATGTTATATGGATATAAAATGATAAATAATATTTTGACTAATAGTAATTAGCAATCAGTAGTCATAAAAGTTTATTTGATTCAAAATAAAACTATAAAGATTTGAATAAACATAATAATAGAATAAAAATTTATTTAAATTTTCTTAAATAATTTAAGTGCTTGTTTGAGTATTATTTCTTTGTTTAATAATTGGTATTATCCTTGCTTATAAATTAATGTTTGAATATATAGATATATATATATTCAAGATTAAGAAAAAAAATTAAAGTAAAGAAACATTTGAAAACATGTTACTATCTGTTAAGTTCAAATAGTGATGGAACATATGTGGTGTATTTTTTTAGCCTAGGTTTATCTAAAACAAAGTGTAGCTCGTATCTCACTTGACAACATGTTACTAGTTGTTTTTTTTTTTAAATATTTTTTAAGAGTTTTTTAAAAAATTTATTTGATTTATTTTTTACTTTTAAAAATAAATAAATTAAAAAAAATCATATCAAACAGGTATCAAACCTAATCTGTTCTATGAAATTAATATACCAATATAAAATATTAAGAAAAATAAGGTCAAGAAGGCTCCTGGGTCACATGCATCCTGAGCATAACGATTGGGAAGCACAATGAGCTTATTGCTGTTAATTATCATTAAACAAAATATGGTGAATATTTGGTGTTTGTAAAATTCGTCTAATCTAAGTTTACATTAGTACAAATCATCTAAATTTAAAACAATATTGAATTATTAATTTATTTACCGGTAATTATAAATAGTTTATATTTAATGTATTATTAATATATATATACACTATCATTTAATCACAAAATGTCATCTTACAAATATGTAAAGATAAAAATTTATAAATTTTTAATTATAAAATTCATACTATATCAAATATAAATTTTAATTATAAAATCAATACCAATGAATAGTTGTTTTTATATATATTTTTGGGATGTTGCATGCTAAAGTGTTGGTGACTTTCACATGTTTTTTGATTAAAATAATAAACAGAAGCTTGGATTCTCATACAATTAAACCAAAAAAAAAAAAAATACCAGTCGACATTCATTTGTACTTTAATGTACTAACTAAACAATCTGAGACTGAAAATCCACCGCAGTTGATGTTCATACTGATGGAGCCAGCTTTTCGGGGACGGTGTTTACGTGGCTGAAGAAGAGGGAAGAAGCAACCTTCCCCTGATGACAAAGCTACTCTCCTGAGACATCTGGTGGAGTTAATATTCGAGGTTTCAGATTATGATATTAATCATGTTAGGTTTTGTATTTTTCTTTTTGTCTTTTTCTTTCTAATGATTTGTAATTGGCGCAAGTAACGTGCAAGTTCGTACAGATTGATACGAAACGGGGACGGTTTGTCTCTACGTAACTGTGACGTAGAGAAACCACTCGCTCTAGTGGGGACTGGGAGACAATTCAGAGAAGTCGTTTAGCTAACCATTATTGAAATAGAAAAATATTAAAATATTAAAATTACTTTAATAAAATATAAAAAGTTCAAATGAATATAAAAAATTTATAAAATGGAATATGAAAATTTAGTTTATATTAGTAAATTTTAATACTAATTTTAAAAAATAAAATATTTAATACTTGTGTTTATTATAAAAAAATTTAATGTTATATATTATATAAATATTAACACTTTTTAAATTATTAAAATAATAACAATAATAAAACTCTAACTCAGAATATTAACCACATCAAAATGTCAAATTGGGAGCATAAATATCATCTATTATTTTACTTGATAGCAATATTTTACTACCAATCTGGTCATTTGACTTTCATGTATTTTTTGTTAATGAAAAATTCATTATAATCGGAGTCTTTTGTCTAAGATATAATATTAAAAAAACTTTTAAATTATTTAAAAGAATTTTAAAAAATTTGTATATTTTTATTTCTAATCAAATTTTTTTTTATTTTGAATCAAATAATTTGATATGATAACATAATTACGTGGTATGTTTTATCTTCTACGACAATACTATATCAATGTTATATGGATATAAATTGATAGGTAATATTTGACTAATGATAATTAATTAATCATTAGTTATAAAAGTTTATTTGATTTAAAAAATATAAAAATTTGATTAAACATAATAAAAAATAAAAATTTTAATTTTTTTTTAAATAATTTAAATACTTATTGGAGTATTATGTCATTGTTTGATAATTGATATTATCCTTGCTTATAAATTAATGTTAGAATATATAT